CAAGTTGCAAATCGCAGTTTCATTTGCATTCCCTCTTTCAAAAGAGGATGTAGCCTAACACATGCCTGTCTTTCCTTGAACAAGGCTGCCCACACGCGAGAAAGGCTGGCTGCAGTTGACTTATTTCATTGTAAATAGCATCCTGCTCAGTGCCAAGAGTGGTTGTCCAGTTTACAAGGTAAACATCAATGGTTCCGGACATTGCTTGAACGCAAGACTTGACATACATTACTCCTTGGCCATCCAGGGCAGTAGCATTGCAACAACACCCATGCACAGGGGAAGAAGAGTTGGGTCCATCATTCCAAACTGCTGTGCTGGAAATTGCACACAAGCATCCTCAGGAATTATACAGAGCTGTGGTGTTTTCTCCAAAAGACCAATGTAATCCACAAGACCTGATCTCAGTGTTATCTAAACTACAGGGCTGTGTCTACACTGGCAAGTTATTCCAGAAAATCAGCCGCTTTTCCAGAATAACTTGCCAGCTGTCTACACTGTCCGCTTGAATTTCTGGAAAAGCACTGACGATCTACTGTAAAATCATCAGTGCTTTTCCGGAAAAGCTATGCTGCTCCTGTTCGGGCAAAAGTCTTTTTCTGGAAGACTGTTCTGGAAGAGGGCCAGTGTAGACAACACAGTAGTGTTTTCCGCAAAAAAGCCCCGATCGCGAAAACGATGATCAGGGCTTTTTTGCGGAAAAGCGCATCTAGATTGGCCCCGGACAATTTTCACAAAAAGTGCTTTTGCGGAAAAGCGTCCTGCCAATCTAGACGCACTTTTCCAAAAATGCTTTTAACGGAAAACTTTTCCATTAAAAGCATTTCTGGAAAATCATGCCAGTGTAGACGTAGCCCAGGGGTCCAAGACTATGTGTTTAGTTTTATAACACAGCTCCTGTTTTCCTCACTGTTGGTAACCACAGTGATCTAGTAAATCACCTGATGATAGAACCCATTGGGCTGGCCAATCTTTTGTGTATAGAAGGCAATATGTTGACCCACAGCTAAGTCCATCAAACAGAGGCAGAGAATTAGCAGCATCCGGAAAAGAACACAAAACTATTCTTGAGGTTTCAGGTTTCTTCTCAGTCCTGAGATTAAGTTAGTATAGGTGCACCCTGAACCCATGGCAATAATAACTGCAGGTTTCCATGGAGCTGCTTTGACATCAAAATACATAACGGCTACGTCTACACTGGCCCCTTTTCCGGAAGGGGCATGTAAATTTCACTAGTCGTCGTAGGGAAATCCGCGGGGGATTTAAATATCCCCCGCGGCATTTAAATAAAAATGTCCGCCGCTTTTTTCCGGCTTTTAAAAAAGCCGGAAAAGAGCGTCTAGACTGGCCCCGATCCTCCGGAAAAAGTGCCCTTTTCCGGAGGCCAACCTGTTTCCAGCCCATGCGGGTGTTACAGCTGTCCTTTGATCTATCCAATTTGCTTCTCCCAGTGCCAGTAGGTTCCTAACATGTTTATTCCCACTTACTTACACTATCTGGTTTCTTGGCACTGTCAAGTGAGCCATTCACACCTTCAGTTATAAGCAGGAACAGAATGTGTAATCCGTTTGTCGGGACAGGACGGGCGGCGATGGGGCAGGTGGGATAAAGGGCCTACCCGTGGTAAAGTGGAGGAGCTGGTACCCATGTGGCCTAGAGGCTAGGGTGCTGGCCTGGGAAGGACAGGGGTGTGAGTTTGATTATGAGTCCCCAGTCCGATTGTATACAGCTTCTGTAGCATATTTGGAAGCTTTTGCCCAGAAAGTCCAGCTCAAGTTGTCTGGGACTGAGATGTTGAATTCAAAAGCGAGGTTACCTGTTCCATTTGGGACATAGTCGCTCTCCTGCCATGTTTCCCAAATTGAAACTGGTGATCTTTGGTGCAGGTGAACCCAAATGTGTCCTATAACTCCGAAAGTGGAATTAATAGTAAGGTCAGCAGTCCAGGTAACTCATCCAGGAGACCTCTGACGGGAATTGACCAAGGTTCTTGCCCCATAAAGTCTACACCATGGGAGGAGAGGTTAAGTTAACAGGTATCTGGTGTGGAGCAGGAAACAGCTTTCCAATGTCAGGTGATTTGGCTTATTTTAGATCTGAGGGAAACCAGGACACTCCAGAGACACTTCACCACTTTCTTATTTATTGCAAGCTTTAGGCAATTAACATAGTTGTTTAAATTTTATAAGCCTTAATAACAATGACTATGCAATTGAAACCTTAAATCCTATACATTCTAAAGCAATTAGTACAGCACAATCAAAGCAAAAGCAATTAATAGAAGATTCCTGCAATCCAATAATTAGGCTTAGTTCACTTACACTTCATTAAAATGCTAGCTACAGTACCAGGCAAGAGGCCGTGGTCCCTTTTGCTCCCACGATTTGGGACACCATGTGCCGCTGCACCGTTATGAATGGTAAGTGAACTAGACAAGCAGGCTTGATTGCAATAGTTTTCCCTGGACAGAACTGTTCTGTTTCCACTGCTTCAAGTTGCCTCTGTGGTGGGGGCTCTGAAAATCTAGTACAAGAGTCCACTCGAAGAGATGAAAAACACTGAGAATTTCCATCTTAGAAAAGCAGAGACCCGAGGGTTGGGAGATGTGATAGAGGTCTATAAAATCATGGCTGTTGTGGCAAAAGTAAATAAGGAAATTTTATTTATTTGTTACCATCACATAAGAACTAAGGGTCACCACATGAAATAAATAGGTGGCAGATTTAAAAGAAACCAAAGGAAGTTTTTCTTCACGCAGTGCACAGTCAACCTGTGGAACTCCTCAGTATAGGATGTTGGGAAGAACAGGACTTTAACAGGCTTCAAAAAGAGCTAGATAGATTCATGGAGATTAGGTCTATCAATGGCTATTAGCCAGGATAGGTAGGTATGGTGTCCCTAACCTTTGTCTTCTTGCTGAGATTAAAAAGATGGGACTTCTCAGATTAGAAAAAAGCAGAGTCAAGGGGGATAGGAAAGAGGGCTATAAAATCATGACAGGTGTGGAGAAAGTAAATAAGGAAAAGTCATTCACTTGTTTTCATAACACAAAAACTAGTGGCCATTAAATTGCATGAATAGGTACCGGGTTAAAAACAAGCCAAAGGAAGTATTTCTTCATATAATGCACAGTCAACCTGTGGAACTCCTCACTGGAGGATGCAGTGAAAACCAGGACTTAAACAGAGTTCAAAAAAGAGCTAGATCAGGCATGTCCAAAGTCCGGCCCGAGGGCCAATTGCGGCCCGTGTTCTGGTTTAATACGGCCCCCCAGGTAATTTGGCAATATCTATCTTTTATGGCCCCCAACGAATCCATATGTATTGAGATGAATACATTGTAAAATCTCAGTTAATGTCAGTTGGTCTAAATCAGTTATAAATATATTTGGACACAACATGTATACTTGGTGTTATGTTCCTGTTCATATTTTTTTAACTTAAAAGTTGACAGACAACCTTTATTACCAATAATATGTAATGTACTTTACAATGTTCCTGACATATATTTCAGCTTCCTGGATTTTTTTTTTCATCTGGCCTTCAGATATGAAAGGCAGAGTGATTTAACACCTGTTTAGATTTGTCATCCATGTGACGAAATGAAAAGTATGCCGTTTGCAATAAACTTTGCATAAAATAGTTAATTTGCATTTAATTTTAATGGTTCAAAGAATGTCAGGCAAAATGGTCGGCCCTCACGCATGTTCACTTCATCAAATCTGGCCCTCTTTGAAAAAAGTTTGGACACCCCTGAGCTAGAGAGATTCATGGAGGTTAGGTCCATCAATGGCTCTTAACGAGTCTCTGTCTGTCTCCTTGCTGTGGGATATTTTTCACCCTTACTCTTTCTGGCCACTGCAGGTGATGGAGAGGACATGGGAAGAGGGAAACCAAAGTTCCTTTGGGGACTTCATCCTGGTTGGAGTCTCTGACCGACCGCAGTTGGAGATGCTGCTCTTTGGGCTTGTCTTTGTCTTCTATACCGTGACATTGCTGGGCAACACGACCATCATTGTGGTCTCATGGCTGGACCCCCAACTCCACACGCCCATGTATTTCTTCCTCAGCAACCTCTCCTTTCTGGACATCTGCTACACCACCAGCATGGGGCCCCAGGTCCTGGTGTCCTTTGGCAGCACCCACAAATCCATCTCCTTTCTCGGCTGTGTGGCTCAAGTTTTCATCTTACTCTCATTAGGTGGCACTGAGTGCCTCCTGCTGGCTGTCATGGCCTATGACCGCTATGCTGCTGTCTGTCTGCCACTGCACTACACAGCCTTCATGCATCGCCGCCTCTGCCTTCAGTTGGCAGCCACCGCCTGGCTGTGCGGCTTTGGGAACTCCCTCCTGCAGACCAGCCTGACGCTGTGCCTGCCCCGGTGCGGGCGGAACCGCATAGAGCACTTCATGTGCGAGCTGCCAGCCCTGCTCAAGCTGGCCTGCACTGACACCACGCTCAATGAGGCCGAGATGCTGGCCAGCGCTGTGCTCTTCCTGCTGGTCCCCCTCAGCCTCATCCTGGTCTCCTATGGCCACATCAGCGTCGCCGTGCTGAGGATGCGCTCGGCCCGGGGCCGGCTCAAGGCCTTGAACACTTGTGCTTCTCACCTGGTGGTGGTGACCCTCTTCTACGGCACGGCCATTTCCATGTACCTCCAACCGCCCTCCAGCTACTCCCAGGACCGTGGCAAGATGGTCTCCCTCTTCTACACCCTGGTCACCCCCATGCTCAACCCTCTGATCTACACACTGAGGAACAAGGAAGTTCACGGAGCCCTGCGGAGGATCCTGGGCAGGAACCCAGCTGCCCAGGGCCCCTGAGCTGGGTCGAGCGATGGGTGAGGAGCCACGTGTGACTTCTGTAAGCCTCCTTTCTGGCCCATGGGAGCTTTCTGCCCTCTCCCCATCCACGCAGACCCTTTATCTCAGGAGCAGGCAACTTGCAGCCAACGGGCCACAGCCTGAGACCCATGCACCACATGTGGCCCCACAAGGTTCTATGACTGGCTATGAAATCTGGCAGCTCACCAAGGTGAAGGAGGGCCGCTCCCCTGGGTTGCCCAGCGCTGTTTAATCCCCTCCCACTCCACGCCACAAATCTGCCCGGATCCATCCCACCACCTGCCTTCCCTCTGCTACCTCCACAACTCTCCTGCTGCCCCACAGATTGAGCCTGCCATGAGCCACCCCCAAGCTTCTGGCCCTTTCCCACCCCATGCAATCCATCAACTCACATGGCCCTCCTGCCTGAAAATAAGTGGCAGAACAGCTCTTGCGGAAAAATGATGGCTCATTAGGTATGCAAATGAGGCACGTAGGTTTTACCAGGGGTCCAGTTTTGAACCGAACAGTCCGGTATTTGAGCTTTCTGTCCAGGAAACAAATTGAGAAAATACTGGACGCATAAATGTCCGTTATTTTCTATTAAGTAAGTTTTATTATTATCATGAGTATCAGTATGTAGTTGAGTACTACATGAGTCTGTCTACCAGCCAGGCAGTACGCAGCTACACAGTAGAGAGGAGGGGGCAGGGTTTGGGGACAGGGCAGGATGGAATCCTGGGGTTGGATTTACCCATGCACCCCGCCGGGACTGTGCGCGGGACAGGAAGCACCCCAGGATCTGCATGCACCTGGGTCAGTCCCACTCCCCGCTGGCTGGTTCCCCCCCTCCCTATCAGCTCCCCTTCTCTGATTGCCTCCCAGCCAGCCCTACTTCCCGCCGGCCAGTTCCTT